AATCCCTTATTTTTTCTTGCAGGACAAGGTGTTTATAGACTGAAAAGTCCTGGAGGTAACTTAGTTGCATAGTTACGTGACTAGTCTTTTGGTGAAATTGTGTTCCTGTGCTAATTCCAATTCAGCACAAGCAGTTATGAGGATTCTGCTTTGTTGGCTCTTACTTGCTTGACAATTTGGCCAAAGCTTGCCGAAGTACGTGCATATGTTGCTACATATAGTTATATAATCTCCATATATTTACTCTAGGATATAATCAGCTGCAAATATGCATCTAATTATCTATAGCCATTAGCAATTTTTTAAAGGGTCATCGCTATATACATACTTAGCACCAATTAACATGCTACTGTGTCAGCGTTACCATCTTATCTAGCAACGTAGCAATGTTGCACAGTGAATACAACTGGAGTAACCTAGAAGAATGAGAAATGGATGCATGGTAGTCAGATTTTTGAAGCTTAAGAGCCAAATTTTGTTTGATATATACGCATGTGGCTTGACTTAATGTCAGATAGGAAACAATAATAATATTTCTGTCGAAGTCACAAATATTAAGTGGCTTACATGATAAGAGGTACCATATACTGTGTGTTCATAGGATTTTTATTACTTGCCGTTGTATTGCATTGGAACCTTGTTTGCTTGCTAGCATAATAAATTAATTGGAATAAGCAAGAAAATACGTAGTCATAAAATTAATAAAAGTGATATAATTGTTATAATAGTACTACTAGTAATAATAATAGCAGCAGCAACATCTAATGCCCATCCAACACCAAGTGGTGGCCATTACTTTTCCTCTAATCCCCTTTTGAAAAGAGTCTGCCACTGAGCTGAGTTTTGAAACCTCAGGACTTTAAGGGTTGCTAAATCTTATCAAGATTAATGCAGATAGATTAAGGGAGTTCTGACTTTGGTAGTGCTATCTAGAAGAAAGTATAGGCTAAAGCCTTGCATGCAAAGAAAATGGCTTTCATCTGATTGCATAGAGAGTTTACAAATAACACCCTCCTCATTGTCTGATGCACTGTGAACTTAAGCTTGAATCAAAGTGTCACTCTTTGGCTCTGGGAAAGTGTGGTATCATTTCCTGTTCTAATTTGTATGCATTTTAGAGTATGTGGTTTTCTATAGTTTATGTGCAAGGTCCGGTGAGTTTGGTGCTGAGTATTCTGGCCACAGGAACACATTTATAGAGGAACAAGTCATTAACCTAGATGGATAAGAAACCATTTCCTACTGTGGAGATATCTTAGATGCAGGGGTTTCTTAAAGCTTTTATGTCGTAGTGGGAGAGGAAAATTCACAGTTAACCTTTTTTAACATAATACTTAGAATGGCAGAGTATGGAAGAAATACGGATATTTCCAAATGACACAGAAGGAAGGAGTTTGCTTAAGGACCTGCTGATGTCATAAAACGTACTAGCACATTTTGAATAGTTTGTGAACATCACCATGGCCCCAGGGAATGAGTTTCAGCCTTATGCTTGTCTCTTGGGTAAATGACACATCTACTAGAAGAGAAGCATTTTGGTATGACTTACCTTCATAGCTAATATAACAAAATGTTAGTTATTGTGTTTTACCTTGGGTTTAAATTAGTATCGTTTTATGACATTTGTGTTCGTAGCACAGTAACGCAGCCACCGTAAAGCGCAGTACACCCTCTTCCTGGGATTCATAAGGATTTATAAAGCAAACTGTCTTTGGGAAGCCACCTCTGCTATTATTTCAGATAAAACGTAGTGGTCTGATTTCGTTCAGTTTCTGAACCATTTGCATGCTCAAACAAAGAGCCAGCCGGCATTTAGGTATCTAAGCCTGAATTAATAATGTATTCACATATTAAGGAAGAATTTTTGGCACCCTTGAAGTCAATTTTAAAACTCGGGTTGACTTGTATGGGGGTGGAATTGCACCCTGAAGCTCTAACAAGACTATGCCCAGGGGTTGTTATCGCACTCAGCTGGTAAAGAGCCTGCGCTCTTACTTGAACAACTAATCCTTAATTGAGTGAATCATTCCAGGGAGTGGGATGGCACTGCTTCTTCATGGACGCGTTACTCACATGGAGTCGCACCCTGCTTCCATTGAGGCCATTGCTATTGACTTTGAACCCAGCATGTCTTTAAGGATTGGAAGGCATGCATGGCTCTTAGAAATGAATGCTGTTGAAGCAGTCATGCAACTTTAGGACTGTTGAAGCCAGCCAAAATGCATTCTATACCCCTTCGAGGAGGGTGGGTGGTAGGAAGTTGTGGTCCTAGTGCCGTGGGTCCAGGATCATGCCATTAGGCCTGACCTAAGGGAAGTCTTAAAGTGCAAAACCCCAGGTACTATCCCTTCCTTGCTTTAGGAATGGGTGAGGGGTAGTATCATACTGGTGGTCCATACCAGCTAGGAGGGAGAAGTTTACTGCTGGGGTGTACCAGTTGCAAATTATGACGCCCTCTGCCAGTGACTCAGCTGCATCATCCAGGAGGATTGTGGGAAAAGATGGAAGTGAGGTTCCAGCCTGTCCTCACTCACAGGAATCGTACTGGGGAGTTGCAGGTATATAGCACGGATGGACCCAAGTCTAGATACTCTTTCAGGGCATCCTCCTTATGCACCTGCATGGACACGTTGTCCGAGTAACAATGCAGCCTGTCATCTGTAATAACAGGTGGCTTTAATTTACCGTAATTTCCTGCCTGTCCCCTCCCAATACATGAAATAATATTAGACTTTCTGAAAAAAAAATGCAGTCGTCAGGATGAATATAGTCACATACTATTGCTTTATGTTGGCAAATGCTTCCAAGACAGTGATCTCATTATGTTAAGCAGTGTTGTAAAAGGAAGGAAATAAAATGCTTTTGCTTTTGAGTTTCCAACCTGAAAATGCCAATGGAAACCTAGCTGAGCTGAGCCCCAGCGACTCAGGTGGCTTTACATTCTGTTTATAAACTATTCTCAAGCCTTTATTCAGTCCGAGTGTGAATGATCTTGAAATGCTCAAAGCCATTATTAATTCATATTTCTGATTTTAAGAATTGCTTTGTGGCATTAGTCTTCTTTTATTTTTTTCCCTCCCTGTATGAAAACAAGTATGTGAGGCTAAGGATACATGAAATCATCAGGAGACAGACATATGCTTTCCTGCGGTGTCTGCAGGGTTTGCAGGTTCAAACACAACCTGTCTGAATCATAAGAACTTTAATTGAGTAGATAAAGAGGTCCTCATAATTATAAACTGCAGTAGGTATAACAAGAGGCTAAATACATAGCTGTGGTTTTAATTAGCTGGTGCTTCAAATTAGTAATTGTGGTTTCACTCAGAAATCAGTGACTTTATACACTGTTAAAGCCTCATCACTGTGCAGTTCATTCCTCATTATATCTCTCCGTGTGAAGCTTTCAATACAACATCATGCTGAGCTAAAAAGGCAAAAGTTGTAGATATTTGGTTATCTTCCAAGTGCAGTAGAGCTCTATGGAGATTAAATTCATTCTCACTAGAGATATGAGAATTAACTGTTCTTTGTTACCTATGTGGGGATATATATGTGTGTGTGTGTGTGTGTGTGTGCATGAATTTACATGCACGTGGGTGGGTGTGCAATGCATGTACATAGATATAGAAAATGTAGCACTCACACATTGCTTACAACAGATAACATCAATGCGCATACTCAATCTGCTATTCAAATTGTCATCTGGAATTTGGTAGCTAATTAACTGACACAAAATAGAGCCAAAAGCCTAATAACAAATCAAATATGGGTTGAAAGCACAGAAGTGTCCTTAATGCTTGTCACATGAGGGGCTGTCAGTGCAAGTTCAAGCATGCATCCTTTTTTTCCTCCCTTCTTCTTCCCTCCCCAACCCCCCCTTCCTCCTTTTCTTCCTTCAGGGTTTTAATTATAGCTTTTCTCTCAGAGGAGCAGGAGGTAGTTTGCAAAGCCAGGAGACCAAAGTACTTCATGAGCGAAGTAAATGTGATCTCTCAGCTTGTCACCCGGGTCTGGCAGGTGCAGAAAGTGAAGTGACATACAGATAACTGACATCCTGCGATCGCTGCTTGGAGGTGATAGACCTTCTTTGTGTGTTTGGTGGTGTGTAGAATGATCTGTGGCTGAAGCAAACTAATCGAAAGCCTTTCTGGGACAGCGCAACAGTGCACTTTTTTTTTTAAGTACTCCTTCTGTCCACAACCAAACTTTACACAACTTTTTTAACAAGCACGAGGGGTTGAATTACCTACTGTAACCCTCACCGCTGAATTGTGTGTGTTGAGATGCATGCAAGTGGTACCCATGAAACATAGTGAAGATGCCACCATACCCGGTTAACTGCAGGTATGCTTTCTGCACCTAGATACATTCAGTCTCTGCCTGCGTGCCCGTGAGTATGCACGTGCGTATTCATATAAACAGCACGAATTGCTTATGGGACTCCTCACGTATGCGCAGACACACATGCATGCTGTATTGACATTTTTGCTGCAAAGAGTACCATGGATCTGAAAATGGAAGTTGTGTGTGGGGGTGTCATTTCCCAATGACTTGTTCTCAGAGCCCGTTAGTGCGGTATTTTTACTCCAAATTTACATTTGCAAAAACGGATGGATGCATTTCTTCCAGAGTTAGCCACTAGAGCTATCTGGTTTCTAAATTTTAATCACATGTGGCCATATGGTCCCTTTCTAGTGAGCCGTCTTTTAATACTTCCTTTTGGAAGGAAATATTAATTACTTCCTTTCGGAAGTACTAAAAGATGGCACAGTAACAGCCCATACTACACTGCACTGGCCGCACATGGTTATTTTTGGCTGGTGCATCACTACCAATGCACTATAATGAGGGAGTACATTGTGATGGCGAAGTAGCAGTGGCATCACGGTTTTTGCCAACAGGCACTACAGCACCATAGCGTCTTGTGTAGGCATGCCCAATGAATAGTTGCATGATTTATGGGATAAATTACTCTGTGTTTGTTTCACCCTCTTTTCCAGTCACTATGAGCAAGACCGGAGTGCCCTTAAAAGGAAGGAATGGGAGCGACGAAATCAAGAAGTCCAGCAAGATGAAGATCTCTTTGCTTCAGGTTTTAATCTCTTTGGGGAACCCTATAAGGTAAATTGCTCTATGCGACTTTACACTTAAATGCATCATCTGGATGCAATCTTCAAGTATTAATTAAGCCTTGTTTCACCCCCCAAAGATGGGAAGTATTCGGGCAGCCTTCATCTACAGATATATAGGACTTTATATATTCTGCAAATATAACTATTGTCCAAACAAATCATTTGAAGCACAGTCAAGTAACATGACCACTGTCTCCTAGTAGGTTGGCAGCAAACTCAGGAATTGAATCTCAGCACGTGGATCTTTCCTTCTTTCCCTGAACACCCAGCATATCCTCTTGATAAATACCTAGGCAATTTATAATTCTCCAAATAGATCTGTACTTCAGTTTCCCTAACTGCAAAACTGACATTTCGTCTCCCTTATATTTTAAGAAAAAAATATACCTGAGTTGCTCAAACCAAAATCTCTTCCATAAATAATGAGTCTATAAGCTCTCCTTTGCAATCATAACTGTCCAAAAAAATCTTCAGGGAGAATATCTGAATCCTTTGGGGAGCATAACAAGGGTATCAAAGAGCCTTATGACAGGACTTATTCTCTCTAAGGAGCTTTGCTGCCTGAGATTTTCATCACTGAGGGATGTCCCCCTTTATGATTTCTGCTGCTTTGGTTTTCAGTGAGGCATTGCCTGAAGAATGCATCAGAATGTAAATGTACTTTCCTCTTTCTCCTCCCAATCAGTGACATCCATTGAAAGGCCACCACTTCATCTTTCCATTTCCCATTGTTAGCCACTGTAGGGAGGATGAGGGATCTTTGAAAATCATCAGAAAGGGAGGAGAAAAGACCAACAAATGGCTATTAATAATTATAGGCTAGGAGACTTACACAATCATGTAAGGGCTATATGGTAGAAGCTTTCATTAAGCAGTTTTCTGGTTAAAACCTAATCAATGTGCTATATATTTAATTATAATATTTTAAAATGTGTTCCTGATTTATTTAAATGTGTGTCCATTTACATACATACATACATAATATAGGACTAAATTCATAGATTTCATAGACATTGGAGACTCAGACAGTAAAGAAGTTTTTCCTTATCTGCCACCTCTTTTATAAAGGATAGTGGCAGCTATGAACAGCAGACTTCAGTGATCTCTGCTATGGAAAGCAGATGAAACCTTGTAGAAATAAAAAATGAATATATTATACACTAGCTCTATATGCTGTTACCTTGCAGACTAGTTGATCTTTCTTTTGGACTTTATAGCTAGTGGTTAATTCCAGTGGAATTATGCGTCTAGTAGCTCACCCGGAGTTGGGGCATTGATTAAAGTCTCAAATAAATATCCCAAATTTTACCAAGTCACAGTTGATATTTCAAGTGTGGGGAATATAGAGTAGCTCATGTGAATGATCCTCTTTAAAATAATACAAATGACCTTGATGGGTCATTTCTGGGAACTACAGTATCCTTTTCCATTCTCACAGTTACATCTCAGAGGATGTTTCTACACAAGACATTTACTGTGGAGCTGATTAATTAGATGCACAGTTAAGTCTCAGCGGATGCGTCTACACGTGCCCCAATGACGCTGTTGTTACTGCACCTTCATTTAGTACTTCCTTTTAGAAACAAAAGGGAGTACTAAATGACGGCACAGTAACAGCCTGTACTGCGCCATGCCAGTGGAGCACAGTCATTTTTAGCCATAGCAACGCACTAAAGCAAGGGAGTGCATTGCTACAGCGACATAGCTGCAGCATCATGGTTCATGCCCACTGACACTGCATCACCATAGTGTATTGCTACAGTGATGTAGTGTCTCGTATAGACGCTCCCAGTGGCTTCATGTACAGCCCTATTAAGCCACAGTAAACTAATAAACGCCACCATAGGATAAAACAGGTCAACACAAGTACTATCCTACGGCGGCGTTATTTAGTGTGGCACAATGCATGTGTAGATGCTAGCGGGGTTGGCTGGGACATGAGGGTGCTACAGTGTGGGGGCTGCCTGCCAGCCAGCCCCTCTGCAGCACACTGAACCGGGTCAGAGCAGCTCCAAGCTTGACCTATAAACACTGCACCCGGGAAGCAATAAACTCCCTGTGTGAACTATGCCAGAGTTTCTAGTGTCACACTAATATCACGTGTAGACATGCCCAGAGATAGCCAACAAGGTCCCTGATCCAGCAAACACTTATGCAGAAGCTGACTGGGGGACTATACAAATGCTTAAAATTAAGCATGCATATACATGGTTGCAGAATCATGGCCAAGGTATATAAAATTTCATCCATGAATAAGCCAGGAACATATAAGTATATAGGGAAAGACGAATAATGTTACAATGTGCAGAGACGTGGTTAGGCACTTGATTTTCTTCAGTTATCTACATAGAGCAGTGTTTTATACATTATACCACTTAGTGGCAGAAGTCATTTAAAACTCTTGGCTGCACTTGATATGATAAAGCAAACAAAAGGTATTTTCAGTCCTGTTAAAGATAATACCACGTTTAATGTAACTTGGAGGTTTGGCTTCCTGATTACTCACCTTGGAAATATTTTTGCCTCTCAATATTCTCCACTCAAGTAGCTAAATCCATATTATAGATTGGTCTTAAGACCTCCTGTTAGAGTTCATGGAACAAAACAGAAAGAACTTCAAGCTCATTTCAAAATGTATAGAGGGCACTTTTGGCATTTAATAAGGATGCACAAATAAGAGAATACAGGCTTATGATAATGCTGTTTTGTTCGTGGAATTTGGGGAAGCAGTACATTCAGGATATCCCGAATATAGGGACACATGATACATTTGCTACATAATAAATTGTCCTTAATGTGGAGTAAAAATGGAGTGGACATGTGATACAGAGTCCGTGTAGTAAATCGCTCAAATCCAAAATAAAGTCTGCATTAACTTCAGTATGTGGACAAGTTACTATACAGAATATGTTGTGTTTCCAGTGTCTTAGTTGATTGCAAACTGGGATAGCAATTTGCTCGGTGCAAAGCATGCAGTGGCTGGGTGCTGCAGTGGCACCAATTTCAGGCAGCCAGCTGGGGAGACTGAGTTGTGCCTCTGCTCCTTGCAAAGTCAAATCTGATGTAAATTATTCTTCAGTAATCACATCATGTGTCTGTGCCCAAAATCTCTCACATGGGTAACCCTCATAGACAGGGATGTAAAATAAATGCCAGCCTATTTTCTCAATGATAAAGAGTATTGTTGAGCCACAAATCTCAAAATAGATTCTCATTATCATTAAGTTCAGTCATTTTCATTTTAAATCTTCCTTCCCTTTGTTCACCTGGAAGCTATGTGTTTGGTGAAGAATTTACCCAAAGTTAAACTAACAAAAAAATAACGAAAAACTTTGGTCTAAGGGAATTGTAGCAGGGCACTAAGGTGCCTGCTACTTTGAGAGCAGAGATAAGGACCCAGGTGCAGGTTGCTGGGCCAACCAGTTAATGAGGGTAAGGACTTACACCTGCCTGGTCAGCTGACCAGAAGGGGCAAGGCCTGGTGCCTATATATAAATCACAAGTCTAACACCAGAGGGGGTGGGCTGCTGGCTGCCAAGGGAGAGAGAACTCTGCCTATGTGAGTAAAGAGGAGAAGCTGGACTGCACGAGCAGGCTGATACTGGGGAAGAGATGGAGTATCTGTCGGGTGGCTCAAAGGATGTTACAGCTAAGCAGCTAGAATTTATGTTATAGCCCAGGGGCTTATGCTTTGTATTTGTGGTTTACATTGGAGGACCAAGTGAGGCTATTAGGAGTTGGAGGAGGCCTCATAGGGGCTCCACGGTAGCGTGGGGACCCCGGCACCAGTGAGGGTGCAGCATCTGGGGGTGCACTGACCCCAGCCCCGAGGCAAAGGGGAGTGGAGAATTGGGGGCCAAGGAAGGCTGAGGCCTCCTGAGCCCAGCAGGGGGTTGAGACCCCAAGGAGGAGAGTTGGGGCCAGGCACAGCTATGGCCACCTAAGCCCCAAGGCTGCAGTAACCCCAGAGCAGGGGGCAGCGTGATAAGTGCCCCAGAGCAAAGGGGGGACGACGGGAAGCCTCGAGGCAAAGGGGGGGCGACGAGACGCTCTGAGGCAAAAGGGGCAGTGGTTGACGAGCGCCAGAGGGCGTGGTGGCAAGACAAGGGCCACAGAGAGCCCGAGCGCCAGAGAGGGCACAGAGAGCGAGACTGACCCAACAATGTCTGGTGCACCTGCGAGGCTTGGGCATGGTAAAGGGGTGGTTGGAGCCACACATAGCCCATAAGGCTGGGGTGCCCAGGAACACCCATTAGCAGAGCTGAGCTAATGTACAGGAGGATAACTGTGTCCAGGTGAACCGAAGAGGCAGCCTCCCTAATTACATAATTGACATCAAAGATGTGGCAGGTGAAATTGAGGGTGCATCGTAGACCGACTGAACATGGTAAGGGGCGCTAGTGGAGAGTACGGCCCCCTAGGGAGTTACTCCTGTTACAGGAATATTAAAATGTGTATCCTTTAAAACCACTAATAATATCTATTATGTCATTCAAATGATAACACAGAGGTTAACATTTCTAATTTATTCCGTCGTTTTGATATTTGTGTTTATTAGTGCAGACAAACTGAGCACACAATACCTGCCATTAAATATCTGCATTTCCTATAATTGTTCTTAAAGGGAATTACTTACTAAAATATTCACAATCACGTTCACATTGAACTCTTGAATACACCCGCTTTAGAAGTGAATAAAGTGTGCCTTATAATATTACCAAAAGGATAACTGTGGGTACAAATTCAGCTGAAAAATTGAGCATGAAAGTAATAGTTTCATCTGCCTTAAATCCACAAAAAAATAAGAGGATTAAAGCCTGAATCTGTGTTTTTATAATTCCATCTCTATTTCTACCCATTTTGTCTTCATGTTTATATCAGGAGAAATTAAGGGCAAAATTGTAGCCTGATATTTCCTTCATAGGATTACATGTTGCTAAGAACCTAATCTCAGTTGCATTACAGTCAGGGGAAAGTTTCCTGTTGACA